AGGGGCTGTTGTTGTGGGGAAAATAGGAGGAGGAAGGAGTATTAGGTGTGTTCACCACCTTGAGCTATAGCTAGAGATTAGCTGTTCCTGACTGGGTTGAACTTTAAAGTAAGATTTCCCTAACTTAAATCTTCACATTTAAATCTAGATGATGGATGCAGGTAATAAGTAAAATGTGCTGAATTAGTCTGAGTTTCTGCTAAACGTGGGTTTGGATCAGGTCAAAGAATTAATCAGACTATGGACTGGAGAGCCAGGGTCACAGTATGAGCAAAGGTTCGCCAGCTGCTGAGGAGAATTCAGAGGTTTGCACCTGCAAAACATGTGGACTATCTTACTCCAATTATAGATGGCTTTTTCACTTCTGTCATCTTGGTGGACAGATTTTTAAAAAAGCTCGTATCATGGGTCAGGTGGACTGAATCTATAGAGCAGGGTTTTTTAGGCTGCAACCTGAGACAACAGTACTCAGTCATCACTGAAGAATTTCCCAGATCATAGTAAGGAATTTTATGTAAGTTATCTTACAGCTGGCACGAACCCTAGAGTCATCTATTACAGTATATGGCATTTCCCCCCCTACTTTCTGACATGGATATACCACAAGAAGGTCACCATCACAGGGCAGAATGACCCCCCAGAGCCACTGATGATTTTGCTTACATAGGAAGATGGCTGAATTTTTAAAATGTTTTCTGTTTCGTTAATTATATTGGATCTCTGTCCATTGACCATAGTAAAGTTTGTTTATTCACGGAAAGTGCCATGGACACCACTGTCCTTACTTATGCCAAGACTGGAGACTCCTCCTCCCTCCCTCCCTCCCTCCCTCCCAGAAACGAGGCTCCCTGAAACGAGGCTCAGAATGCAGCCCCTTCCAGGACCTGGAAGGGGAGCACAGCACACCCCCAGGCGCCGAGCCAGCTTTGGCCTGAGCAGTTGCCTGGAGGTCTCTGCCTTAGGGCAACGGCACCTTTTCCCAGGGTCAGCAGCTGCTTTCAGATATTGCAGAGGGAGGCTGCTTTTGTGTGCTCACCTGCTCTGAACCATTTTTTACAGACTGAATGCAAAGGGCTTCTGCCCAGCCTGACTGCTGACTCTAGGGCGAGAAGAATTTTCTTCATGGCCAGCCGCCCACCAAGGCATCCTTCACAGGGAACTCATCTTGTTTATCCCCTTCTGTCATCTTGCTTGGGTGGTTTTGTTCTTGCTGATTTCTCCTTCGTCTACAAGGATTTTATGCTGCCTGAAGATTTCTGAACTGGCTTCTTTTGACCTGAGAGTTTTATTAATTGTTTGCCACACTTGCTGTGTTCAACCTGAGCAGTTGAGGACCTAGCTAATTCATTCACATGACACACTTAACCTGGTTAGCATTAGCCTTAATTAGAGGGGGTATTGAGTCATGGTCCCCAGGATGTTTGTTTCAATGTACTGTAGTATGCAATCTCAGGAAACTGGTTTAATTCAGGAGGAATGAAGTACAACGTGTGTACAGAGAACTATATTCTTTAGTGAAAAGGCAGGGTGTAAGTTATCTATCGCTCCAGGTAAATAGCTAGAGTTTTAGTTTCTGCATCTGATGTCCACAGCTCGCCCACGGGGCCTGTTCCACTCTCCACCCCCAGGATCTCTATTTCTCAGGCTCCCAAGAATTGCAGCCCAGGAGCCTCCAGCTGAGCTCCCTGGTGTTGCTCTTGGAAAGTGGCACCCGGACAGGTGGATGTGCATGTGGAACCAGGGCGCTGCGGGCATCCAGGTGATGGTGGCAAGGATCGGTCAGGGTGTGCTCCCCACTGGACTAAGCCTGTGTGCAGCTTAGCTTCCCCCAGGACATGGGCTGGCTTCTCAGGCCCATCACAACCATTGCACAGCACGCCACAGCTGACCTGTTTCTGCTGAAAGTGGACTTCCAGCTTCATCGAGGCACACAAGTTCAGGGTGATGAGCCTCCTGCAAGGAAGAAAAGTGAGCAGTTTCACTCAGTCGCTCAGCCACGGTGGCATCTGGGAGGCTGCTCGTGCTATTTAAAAACAAGCGGCCCTTGTTTCAGGCCATTGTCACTTAACACGCAAACAGCTGGTGATCAAGGGAGCATGCAGGGCTACACACACGCACACCCACACACTTTGGTTTGGGGAGGGCAGGCTCAGCCTCATGGAGGTGTGCTGCTTTCCCATCCCTCCCACACAAGAAGGTGCCAGATCACGTGCCCATTGCCCTCCAGAGCCAGAAGCTTTAAGCCATTCGAACACGCCAGCGGGCAGTCTTTGCACCTCGTGCCAGCAAGCGCTTCTTGGTCTCAGATGCGGAAAAGGACCGTTGTCCTTCCCAGCCCCTTCTCAGCTGAAAGGATCACTTCTGAGTGCATTTGGACTGATACCACTTCTGTTTTCATGAGAAAAAGCCAAAGGGCTTGGGCAAAACCCTCTGCGTCCAGGTCCGCTGACCTTAGTTCTATTATTCACATTTTAAATTACGGCCGCTCTTTTTGACAAAGCTCTAAAGTGTATCCAATCAAGATTAAAATTAACCTGGAACAAAGAAAGAATGGAAATAAAACAGCAACAACACCCGGAGAGCAACAGATCAGGAAAAGCAACCACCGTGGTTCTAATTATCATCATCTTCCACAGGGGTCAAAGGTAATCCAAACTGCTCCCAAAAGCTGTCACTGCCAGCGTGCAAAAGGCTGAAGAGTGGTGGAGGGAGCCCTAAGTCCGGGGCCAGAATCGCGGTGACTGAGCTGGACCACAAAGGCGGCTGACCTCCCACCTAAAGCAGGACCACAGGGAAGGTGGCCCTGGAGGACCAAGCCCATGCTGGGAGGCCTTCAGAATGAACCACGGTAAAAGGCAGATGATTTCCTGAACCTGAAGAGAAACCAGAGCGGGGATGCCCACTTACTCCCGAAGCTCTGGCTCAAGCTATTTGATGTAACCAGCTTGTCAGAGGCCTCTTCATCAACGAAACTGAGCATAAGATCAGCCTCTGTGCAGCTGACAGAACCCCAATATTAGCAGCACCTGTTCCTAACTTGCAAGAGGAATCAGCAAAATTTGAGGCTGTGGTGGGCTTAAAAATAAACTTTCTGAAATTCAAATTGTTCTTTCCAAACATTATTTTTAAAATTTATACTTGCAGGGAAAAGATCAAGGCTTTGTTTAAAAAAAGTGTTATATTTAAAAACATCTCACAGTGGGTTTGGAATTCCTTTTTATTATGATGCTTTCCACTTAGGAAATATTGTATGGCTATTAGCAGAGATGGAATCCAGAATCTGGGTGGAAATGGAGGCCCCAGAAGGACACTGCTGGGATATTAAAAACTCCTGCTAAAAGTTTTAAAGCCAATGACAAAAAGGGTCTAAAGCCAATCCCTTTTGGAGTGCTAATTTAAATCTGGGTGAAATGGCTAAAAACCTTAGCTCCTCCTTGTCCTCTTATTTCTATTTTTAGCCACCCTAAATTCCCCACAGCCACTTCGATAAGATCAACCAGAAATGACACAAACTGAAGGATTTCTATTATTCCAGTAATCTTATTAATTTAGAGTTGAGATTTAATGTCCTACTGTGATTACAGTTCAGGTCTTTTCTTTTTAATTTAGAAATAAAAGTTCAAGCAAAGAGACCTTGGTTTATGAAGCAGTGGTACTGAATCAAGAGTGGAATACAACATGGAAGTGGAAACTAGCATCATCGTCCTCAGCCCAAATTAGAGGAAATTTCCTTAAACTATTGCATAGATGGCATATGGCTCCTTATAAACTAGCCTGCATGAACAAAAAAGGCTCCTCTTTTTGTTCCAATGGTTGTGAGGAAACCAACGTATTTCCACTTGTGGTGGTCACATCCCCGTCTCTTTTCCTTCTGGTCTGAGGAGCTTTTGGAGATTGGTAAAGTTATAAAAATGCCAGCTGGTGGGGACTAGGAGGTGTGCCCTCCCTGCCCTAGCGCCCGCCCTCTGGAACATTCTCCCTCCAGAGATTAGGATAGCCCCGACCCTGTTGGCCTTTCGTAAGGCCTTGAAGGCCTGGTTGTGTGCCTGGGCCTGGGGCCCCGAGTGTGTTAAGGGCTCCATTTCCTGATTATATTAACATTTATGGTTATGATTTTTCTTGGCTGCTATATATATATTTATTTTTTGTATTGTGTTTGCACTTGGTTTTAATTGATTTTATGATTGTTCGCCGCCAGAGTCACTTGCTTGAGATGGGCGGCCATAGAAATTGAATAAATAAATAAAAATTAATTAATTAATGCATCTCCAACTTGCCTTGATGAATATACAGGCATTCCTCAGTTAATGACCACTTGTTCAGTGACCATTAAAGTTACGATGGTGCTGAATAAGTGGTGGTTACGACTGGCCCTCAAAGTTCCATCTGGCCCACGCCCCCGTGGTCACATAGTTGCAATCTAGGCACCATGAACATGAACAGGCTGCCAGCTCCTACAGTTCCTTCCAGAGGAGACCAAGAGGCAACCAAGCAGCACCATGAATTTTAAGGCAGAGGCTGAACTAGTTTAGTGACAGGTCACTGGCCAGTCAAATCTATGCCTGAGCCTGATAAGGCAGCTTCATGCATGTTTCAAGAGCAGAGAAACAGACCTTTCCAGCTCAGGAGAAGTATGTCTGTATTATCAAGCTCATGGAGAACAACAAGAGAGCAGATATGCCTCTTTCTGACATATTAGGAGGCAGGAACTCAGAGACAGCACACGGGGGCTTCCCAGCCATCACCCTGAGGAAAGGGTCTGCCTCTAAGCTCAGGGTCTTCCTCTTCTCACAGCATCACTTCAAGCGTTTCACTCAGAGTTGCAGCGCTTTAGGTGAATGATACTTAAATATCCAATTTTCCTCCCAGCATGAGGAGAAACTCAAATGGAGAAAGGATCACCATCAGGTTCTGACTGCAAAACATTTGAGATTTCAGAGCTAATCTCATCACCCTTCTGGCCAGCCTTTAGGAAAGATGCTTGAGAGAGAGTCCTCGGTGAGGTCCCCAACGCAGCAGCATCCATCGGGGAATGTCTCATCTAGGTTGCTTTTGTCTTAGCTTCTGTGACTAAAAATAAATAAGCAGTCACCTACGATGCCCAGAGCATCTTTTGTATAGCCAAGTATGTCCCCGAGGCATTCTCTGAAACTGGAAAGGGGCGGGGGCAGGGGGGGCAGTCTACCTGCGCAGAGAAAGGGAAGAGACAAGCCCCTCCCCTCCCCTCCCCTCCTGGGCCTCTGTGGCAACCATTTGGCGAGAGGGTCCACCTGATGCTCCCCAAATTCCAAGCAGGTCTCCCGGCCCCAAGGAATGCATCTCCAGAGCAGAGAAAGAAGGCCCGACGAGGGGCAGCAGACAAGACGAGCAGGGGGTGGGCAGATCTCCTCTCTGGAGGGAGGCGGGTGGTCAACCGGTCCGTCCATCCGCTGGCAACTGAAGGACGCCCCAGCCAGTGGGAGCAACAGAAAGGGTCTCCTCCCCGCCCCCGCCCCCAAGCCCCCAGCACCCTGCAGGCTCCTCC